ACATGTCAAGTATCATACATTGATAGATAGTTTATTGCAAAATCATTTCGAAACGGAATACTGTATTTATAAGTTCAAAGTCAAAGATAGAAGTCAACCATAAAGAATCTATAACACTCTCAACAAGAATAAGGGAACACATCCCAAGACATCAAGAAGTAACAACGACAACACAAGTAAGGCTCAAGGTATATTCTACCATCACTCAGTAGAATATCACCCGACATGCTTGTCACAAGAGGATAAAGACACACATTGCAACACATGCCTTCATGACATCACTCGTCATGGATAAGGAAACACACATCGGCAACACATGCCTTTGTGACAACACATGTCACAAATACAATAATCCTTCCTTATGCCCGGTTCCAACCTTATGGCTACCCCCAACCTTATAGCTACTTCCAACCTTATAGCTACTTCCAACCATTACCTCCAGGACCCCTGTATAGCCAAGTCCAACCTTATCCCTCCGAGGACCGTCGTCCCCATCCGCCGACTACAGCCAACAATTTCCACTAATTAATAGTACACGAGGGTACCGATCACACACTTTAGCAACAAATGCCTCCCAAGAAATACGTGAACCCGACACACAGGTCACAAATTCCATAATCACGTCATGGCCACCACGAGGACCACTGCCGTACATTGGTGACTAATGTCCCATTCCATTAATCGTGCAATCCAGGTACAGCCACACACACAACACCATCATAGGAATCAATAAACGGATCACAACGAAGATATGAAACCATACTCAACAAGGAAAGGATCACAATCCTACAACAACGATGATCAACACAAGTTATCATCCTCAATAGGAAAGGACAAACAACACACGTTAGCATTTAAACACCGAACTAGCATGCTTATCAAACGGGTAAACTAAACATAGTTCCGAAGAACACACAAGACTCATTATTGGTTCAACGAATCACAAAGTTGAACACTTAGCACGATTTAAGACACCAACACCAACATGGAATCCTACCATATAGTTCTAGACATACGAAACATCAAGAAGACACTCAAAAGCCCAACAAAAGAACATCGGGAAGTCAAAACATCGAATACCGAGTCAAAAGAATCACGGGGAACAAATCCCCACACAATCACAATACTGTACCCGCGGGTGGGGCCACGGGTGGACCCCCACCCGTTGTTCCGCCCGCGGGAACCACATCCCATGACCAACGTACCCCGCGGGTGGGGCGGCGGGTGGAACCCCACCCGCCGTTCCGCCCGCGGGTACCTTACCCTGAACAAAATAATCTCTTCGAGCATTTTCAACACCAAGCTCAAATTCAAGTCCAAAACATCCAAAATCTCACCAAACACAACAAAATGACTTGAATCAAAGGAATTGCCAGCAATGACATACAAGAACCCTAATAACAAGCTCTAGATATGCATTTTCACCAGACAATGCATCAACACTCACATTTCATAGCAAAATCACATGTAGAATCCAAGATATCATCATATAGGTAAGTAAAATAGATTTTGTAAAGCATGAGTTACCTCTTGAAGACTAAACCTTCACTTAAAACACTTCTCAAAGCTCCTAACAATGTTCACATTCAACACCCACTAATTTTTAGAGAGAAGGAAGAGCTTATGTTTTGAAAGTGTAAGGGAAAGAATGAAAGGTGTCTTCTAGGTTAGCTTGGAATACAATCATGAGATGAAATGTCTTCATTACCCTTACTAAGATGAAGAAGTGTAAGTGAACAAGGGAACTATTCTCAAAGCTTTAGGTACAACACCTTGACTTGGGTTGACTAGTCAATTACTAGTCCCCGACTATTGAATTTTCAGGAATTAAAAGAATAAATCACCAATTAGATTAGGATTAATTACTTAATTAATCCTTAAATAGAATTTAGATTTGCTGGGTGTCACATCCTCCCCCCCCCCCCCCCCCCCCTTAAAAGAAGCTTCGTCCACGAAGCTTGGGTACGACAAATCAAAACAAAACGGTAGAATGAAACAACAATGTGACAAGAGTGTCAAGAATATCCTTTTGGTAAAAAATTAAAGGATCCAAATGATACCAAGAAAAAGCAAAAAATCATAGCATTGAAAGGATTGGATGAAATAACCAACGGAGAACATTGAGCATAACAAACTCTAAGCCAAACACAACAACCAAACTTCTAACCAACACCAAGATCTAAACAACTAGCTCCTAGCACAACCCACAAGGCTAACTACTCAACAAAACTACCAAACAAGAACGAACACACAAGGCAAACAACAAGTGACAAGCAAACGGTGAAACGAGGTACCTGACAAGAACAACTCTGGATAACGCTTCCTCATGGCTGACTCCAACTCCCAAGTCGCTTCTTCCACGCCGTGATGGGTCCACCAAACCTTCACCATCTTCACTGACTTCCTACGCGTTTCCCTGGTCTTAGAATCCAGAATCTTGAGCGGCCTCTCTTCGTAGGACATGCCATCGTCTAACGGGATCACCTCCGGTGGTAAAATGTGTGTCGGGTCATGAACATATTTCTTAAGCTGCGACACATGGAAAACATTGTGCGCTCGCTCTAACTCCATAGGTAAAGCCAAACGATAAGCTAGACCCCCAATCCTCTCAAGTATCTCATAAGGTCCTATGAACCTGGGGCTTAGCTTGCCCTTTCTTCCGAACCTCATCACTCCCCGGGTGGGAGAGACCTTCAGCCAAACTTTATCTCCAACCGCGAATTCCACTTGTTTCCTTGCCAAATCGGCGTAAGACTTTTGACGATCCTGTGCCACTTTCATTCTTTCCTGAATCTGTTTAATCTTCTCTACTGTATCGTGCAAGTACTGCAGGCGCAGCACTACTGGATTGACCAAATTTTCCCAACACAACGGACTGCGACACTTTTGACCGTATAGTGCCTCGTACGGTGTCATGCGTATACTCGAGTGATAACTGTTGTTATAGGAGAACTCTATTAGATCCAGGTGATCCTCCCATGATCCTTGAAAATCCAGAATACATGCTCTCAACATGTCCTCGATGGTCAGAATGGTCATTTCCGTTTGTCCGTCTGTGGTCGGATGGAAGGCGGTACTAAGGTTCAGTTTGGTTCCTAAGTTTGCTTGCAAAGATTTCCAAAACTGAGATAAGAATCTTGGATCCCGATCGGAGACGATATCCCATGGTACACCATGATACTTCACCACTTGATTAACATAGGCTCGAGCTAACTGTGTCATTGTCCACGTTTCCTTCATCGCAATAAGGCGAGCAGTTTTTGTCAACCGATCAACTATTACCCAAATCTTGTCCTTGCCGGTGCGGGTCACCGGTAGACCTCCTACAAAATCCATGGAGATGGAATCCCACTTTCCTTGTGGAACTTCCAACGGCTGCACCAAACCCTTGACCCTGCAACGCTCCACCTTAACCTTTTGATAATTCAAGCATCGACCCACGAACTCCACTACTTCCTTCTTCATGTTGGGCTACCAAAAGAGGTTCTTCACATCCTTGTATAACTTGTTGCCTCCGGGTGTACCGAGTAGGGTGTGTTATGGCCTTCTTCCAAAATCTGACGCTTCAACCGATCGCATGACGCAAGTATACACAAACGGCCCTTGTATCTCAACTCTCCGTCTGTAGATAACTCAAATGGTTCCCCTCTTCCTTTAGCCAGGTCATCCCTTGCTCTCATTAAGCTAGCGTCCTTTAGTTGTTCTTCCTTAATTTCCTCCAATAGTGTAGGCACCACCCTTAGGTTGAAAAGGCGGACTTCTGATTCAACTTCTCCTTGCTCCACCACTTCTAGGTTCATTCTTTGCAGTTCTTTACAAAGCTCGTCAGCCACTACCCAAATGGAACTAACGTCATGCTTGGACTTCCTGCTTAGAGCATCCGCCACAACATTCGCTTTCCCTTCATGATATTGAATGTCCAGCTCATAGTCTTTGATGAGTTACAACCACCGTCTTTGACGCATGTTAAGATCCTTTTGCGTGAAAATATACTTGAAGCTCTTGTGGTTCGTGAAGATCTTACAACGCACACCGTACAAGTAATGCCTCCAAATCTTCAAAGCGAAAACCACGACTGCCAACTCTAAATCGTGCGTGGGGTAGTTCTCTTCATGCACTTTAAGCTGTCGTGAGGCGTAAGCGATCACTCTCCCATTCTGCATCAACACGCAACCTAGTCCTTTCTTGGACGCATCGCTGTACACTTCAAACGCTTCCGTCCCAGAGGGCAAGATTAACACTGGTGTAGTCGTGAGCCTCTCTTTTAATTCGCGGAGCACTAACTCACAAGCTTGATTCCATTGGAAAAGCATATCCTTCCTTAACAACTTAGTCAACAGTTGAGCCACTTTGGCGAAATCCAACACAAACCTTCGGTAGTAACCAGCTAACCCAAGGAAGCTTCTCACTTCCGTCACGGTCCACTCCTTCACCGCCCGAATCTTATCCGGATCCACCGAGATGCCTTTGCTGTCAATCACATGACCTAAGAATGCCATGCTATCCTTCCAAAATTCACATTTCGAGAGTTTGGCGTACAACTGCTTTTCCCTCAGAATCTGGAGTACTGTCCGGAGATGCCCTACGTGCTCTTCCTTATCCCGAGAGTACACAAGGATGTCATCGATAAACACGATCACGAAATCGTCGAGATGAGGCTTGAATACCCGATTCATCAGATCCATGAACACTGCGGGGGCGTTTGTCAAACCGAACGGCATCATCGTGAACTCGTAGTGCCCGTAACGAGTCCTGAATGCGGTCTTAGGAATGTCCCTATCTGCCACCTTCAACTGATGATATCTAGATCTTAGGTCAATCTTAGAAAACACCCCGGTGCCTCGGAGTTGATCAAACAAATCGTCGATCCGCAGTAGAGGGTACTTGTTCTTGATAGTGACTTGGTTCAGCTCATGATAGTCGATGCACAGTCTCATGCTCTCATCTTTCTTCTTTACAAAAAGCACCGGCGCTCCCCACGGTGACGTACTCGGTCGGATTTAGCCCTTGTCTAACAACTCTTGCAACTGGGTCTTCAACTCCTGCATCTCCTTGGGCGCTAACCGATAAGGAGCTTTCGATATAGGCGCCGTACCGGGTACAAGATCCACTGAGAATTCAACTTCTCTCGGAGGAGGCATACCCGGAATCTCCTCGGGAAAGACATCAAGGAAATCGCATATAACGGGTATGGTCTGAGCCGCATCCCCTTTCGCCTTCAAATTTTTGACGGAGCACAAAAATATCTCATGACCTTTCCCAACGTACTTTTTCATTTTCAACATCGACACTATCTTGATTCCCGGTTCCTCTGTTGATCCTCGGTATGACACTCTCTTCCCGCTTGGCCCTTCAAAACCACTTTCTGCTCACCACACAAGATTTGAGCCCTGAACTGCCCTAGCCAGTCCATGCCCAGGACTACATCTACCCCGTCCAGGCCGAACTAGATCAGATTACTGGGAAACTCTTCTCCACCGATAACTATCTTAACGTCTTTGAAGAGACGGTTGCAGGTTTTAACTTCTCCAGATGCCACCTTAACACTCAAGTTCACTCCAACGCCTTCGTTTAAGCCTAGCTTCTTCACGAGTCCCGGAGATATGAACGAGTTGGACGCTCCGGAATCGAACAAGATTACCGCTGGGACAACTTGCACAAGAAAAGTCCCAATTACTACATCACTGTCTCCTGCCCGAGCTTCGCTTAGGATGAGGATCTTCTCTTGTGATGACTCTTCCGACGAACTCTGGGTTCCCAACCCACTACTCCTTCTTAGATCACGAGATGTCGGCAAGGTATCTGCGCTGGGGCTTATCTGAGTGGATGTGCCACTCCGAATCCACTGCTCGACCACACTAGGAGCGTTTCTAACTTCCGTCATTCTAGGTCTCTTAGCCACATCACTAGCGTCTTCAAACGTCACGGTACGCTGACGCGGTGGAGCCTTGACCGAGCTTCTACAACAACAACACTGTTACAAAAAAAAAACAACAAGCAAGCAAACAACTGTAAACAACACACAGCTCACCGCCGTCCTAAGAGTCCTAAGTCCTAGTCACTTAGATTCTTACGGTCGCTTAGGGTCTCAAACCACACTTAACCACTTAAAAGTCTAGACCCTATCATCCTAGGCTTAAACCTAGGCTCTGATACCAACTGTAACACCCCCGATTTCCACGCCATTTTAAACTTAAATAAGCAAAATAATCTAACCACAATATAAGAAAAACACAGCGGAAGTCTAACTATATAAAAACTGGAAAACGAAGAGTGTTATGCCACGTCCGCATTAAGGTGAACGCACAGGCAAGAACATCATCACATCACAGTCTCAAAATCTAACAAGAGACAAGGTCAAACCAAAAACAATCTAATTTTCATCATAAGAGGCACACAGGCCCATAACAAAACTAAACAGAGTCTGAGGGAAACTACACTAGCCATCTCTATATCGCGCTCGCCACTACTCGGGACCTGAAAACACATAAATAAATGGGATAACGCCTGGTCAGCGAATGATGCTGGTAACCCACCATTACATGTCAAGTATCATACATAGATATGTAGTTTATTGCAAAATCATTTCGAAATGAAATACTGTATATATAAGTTCAAAGTCAAAGATAGAAGTCAACCATAAAGACTCTATAACACTCTCAACAAGAATAAGGGAACACATCCCAAGACATCAAGAAGTAATAACGACAACACAAGTAAGGTTCAAGATATATTCTACCATCACTCAGTAGAATATCACCCGACATGCTTGACACAAGAGGATAAAGACACACATTGGCACCACATGCCTTCATGACATCACTCGTCACGGATAAGGAAACACACATCGGCAACACATGCCTTCATGACAACACATGTCACAAATACAATAATCCTTCCTTATGCCCGTTTCCAACCTTATGGCTACCCCCAACCTTATAGCTAGTTCCAACCATTACCTCCAGGACTCCTATACAGCCAAGTCCAACCTTATCCCTCCGAGAACCGTCGTCCCCATCCGCCGACAACCGCCAACAATTTCCACCAATTCATAGTACACGAGGGTATCGATCACACACTTTGGCAACACATGCCTCCCAAGAAATACGTGAACCCGACACACAGGTCACAAACTCCATAATCACGTCATGGCCACCACGAGGACCACTGCCGTACATTGGTGACTAATGTCCCATTCCATTAATCGTGCAATCCAGGTACAACCACACACACAACACCATCATAGGAATCAATCAGCGGATCACAACGAAGATATGAAACCATACTCAACAAGGAAATGATCACAATCCGATAGCAACGATGATCAACACAAGTTATCATCCACAATAGGAAATGACAAACAACACACGCTAGCATTTAAACACCGGACTAGCATGCTTATCAAATGGGTAAACTAAACATAGTTCTGAAGAACACACAAGACTCATCATTGGTTCAACGAATCACAAAGTTGAACACTTAGCACGATTCAAGACACCAACACCTACATGGAATCCTACCATATAGTTCTAGACATACGAAACATCAAGAAGACACTCAAAAGCCCAACAAAAGAACATCGGGAAGTCAAAACATCGAATACCGAGTCAAAAGAATCACGGAGAACAAATCCCCACACAATCACAATACTGTACCCGCGTGAACCACATCCCACGACCAACGTACCCCGCGGGTGGGGCGGCGGGTGGACCCCTACCCGCCGTTCCGCCCGCGGGTACCTTACCCTGAACAAAATAATTGCTTCGGGAATTTTCAACACCAAGCTCAAATTCAAGTCCAAAACAGTCAAAATCTCACCAAACACAACAAAATGACTTGAATTAAAGGAATAGCCAAGCAATGGTATACAAGAACCCTAATAACAAGCTCTAGATATGCATTTTCACAAGACAATGCATCAACACTCACATTTCATAGCAAAATCACATGTAGAATCCAAGAAATCATCATATAGGTAAGTAAAATAGATTCTGTAAAGCATGGGTTACCTCTTGAAGACTAAACCTTCACTTAAAACACTTCTCAAAGCTCCTAACAAGGTTCACCTTCAACACCCACTTCAAGAACACACCAAAAGACCATAAAGATTTCATCTTTATAAAAAGATACCTTTGAAAACACTAAAAACACAAAAGGAACATAGATCTTACCCTCCTAGATGCTCAAGAGTAGGAAAGGTGGAATCTTAGACAAACTTTGAAGATCTTGGAAAGTCCCAACTTAGCTTGGAAGAAAAGCTAGCTAAATTTTTAGAGAGAAGGAAGAGCTTATGTTTTGAAAGTGTAAGGGAAAGAATGAAAGGTGTCTTCTAGGTTAGCTTGGAATACAATCATGAGGTGAAATGTCTTCATTACCCTTACTAAGATGAAGAAGTGTATGGGAAAAAGGGAACTATTTTCAAAGCTTTAGGTACAACACCTTGACTTGGGTTGACTAGTCAATTACTAGTCCCCGACTATTGAATTTTTAGGAATTAAAAGAATAAATCACCAATTAGATTAGGATTAATTACTTAATTAATCCTTAAATAGAATTTAGATTTGCTGGGTGTCACATGAAGGATATCAACACCAAGAAAATTCTACTTAAAGGCAATAGTCATGGGGACCTCTATAGATTTCCAATTACCACACTGTCTCCCTCCGCTTTTTTTTACAGCTCGTACATCTCGTGTTAATTGGGGAAAATCTTCTCGATTCCCGTTGTCTCGTGTTGAGTCCTCTAGTTCTACTGTTCTTGATTTAATATACACAGATATTTGGGGTCCAGCTCCTCTTTTGGCAATTGATGGCTATCGTTATTTCGTTATTTTCGTGGATTATTATACTCGCTACACTTGGTATTTTCCCATGAAATTAAAATATGATTTGTATGTCATCTTTGATAAGTTTCGCACAACGGTTGATCGGCTTTTTAACAGAAAAATTAAAGCTATTCAGTCTGATCTAGGAGCCGAATACAAAAAATTACATCATTCCTTTACTCAATTAGGTATCTTTCATAGACAATCACGTGCCTACACTCATGAACAAAATGGTCGTGTCGAACGAAAGCATAGACACATAGTTGAAACTGGCCTGGCTCTTTTAGCCCGTGCCTATGTTCCATATAAATTCTAGGATTTTGCCTTTGAAACTGCAGTTTATTTAATTAACAAAATGTCATCTGTTGTATTAAATAATCTCAGTCCCTATTTTAAAGTGCATAATTCCAATCCCTCATACTCTTTTCTTCGTGTCTTTGGGTGTCTATGTTATCCGTATCTCAGACCATACAATTTTCACAAACTCTCATTCCGGTCATCTCCGTGTGTTTTCCTAGGTTATCTTGAGTCGTTTCGGGGGTATAGATGTATGGACTTACAGACTAACAAGATTTATGTGTGCAGGCATGTAAGGTTTAATGAGACAGTTTATCCTTTTGCTACTAAAAATACTATGCAGTCGTTGCAGCATGTGCAGCGTTACTCGTGGGCTGAGTCTGTTCTTCGCCTCGCGGCAGCAGCTTCTCCATCTCTCGGCACGGTCGACGTCCAGCCGCTGATCAATCTGTTTCGCCCGAGCGTGAGCTGCATAACCAGACGGACCAGCCCATGAAACGCCCTCGCGGGGAAACAGTTAAGTCCATAACGGACTCATGAGATGTACACTCGGAGCCGGTCTCAGGCTCCACCGTCAGCTTTAATAGTTCAGGTTTGTCCTTCGCATCCTACTTGTTACACTCAGACCGTTAAATATTCAGAATGGCGTGAGGCTATGTGTAACACCGCGTGTTACGACCTTCAAATCCAGATTAATTATGGAATTAATCCCGTTAACAAATAGTTAAAAAGGATTTAAGTGGGCTAGAATTCTCTTAATTAATTAATGTGGTCCACAATGGACCATGGACTCTTATCCCTAACGAAACCTTCAATCCTGTTAGGAATAGAGAAAGTGGGCCTTTACTATTCAGATTCTAATTAGGATTCCTGAATCTATAGATAGGAGATTAGGAAGCACTTAGAAACCCTACCACGATTAGCTTTATTACTCGAAATATTCACCCAGGAAACCTAGCAAAGGAATTCCTCACCACCGAGTCTAGGGAGATCAACTGGAAGAGAATCTTAGAGAAGAACCTTAGTAGCCAAGGGAAATTGATTAAGGTTAAGAGGTAACCCATGTCTTACAAAACCTATTTTCCTTGCTATTGTTTATTGATTGGCTCCGTTGGTTGATTGAATGTGTGATTTTGTATGTATATCTTGTTAGAGCTTGCCTTCAGGTTTATATGGTGAATTCTTGTTATTCTTGACATTCTTGATGGCCCTGCGTGGTTATTGGTATGATCTTGTATTTAATTATGTCAAGAGCTTGTCCCTAGGGTTTATATTGTGAATCTTGTTGTTGTAACATTCTTGGTGTTCTTGGGTGGGTTTATGCATGCTCGGGTGTTGATTCTAGTTTAGAACTCGTCTTTAGGGATTTGCATGTAGGTTTCTTGATGTTTTTGAGGTTCCGGATGCTCCTGAACCGTTATGTGATTGATGTCGAGTCTTGGCATGTTTAGGTATCGTGTTAGGACGTAATTGTGGTGCTTCTTGGTTTAATTCGTGTTGATCGAATCTGTGTTGTTGTTGATATGTATTGGGATGTGTTTGGACATGGTTTCAGGTTTAATTGAGGAATTCCCGGGTCGGGAAAAGTGTCGGAATCCCTTCGTACCAGCAGGGGGTCGGTGGGGGGACGAGTCCCCACTGACCGCCCGCCGGTTCCTTGTCGCCGTACCAGTGGGCGGACTGCACCCGCCGGTACATGGCCGCCCACCGACGGGTGGCCGGCGGGTGGTCGACTACCCGCTGCCCACCCGCTGGTACGGGGC